TCTCGCTCTCTCTCTCTCTCTCTCTCTCTCTCTCTCTCTCTCTCTCTCTCTCGTCTCTCTCTTTCCCTTTCTGTCTCTCACAACTTTTCTCATCCTGTATGAGTTTCCTGGGTTTGCGTTGAAGAAGCTTTCGCTGCTGCGCTGCTTTTCGCCAATCCGCGAGAAAACTTGGGCTCTCTCCCTTGAACCGCAACAGACCTGCATTCTCTATGCTATTATTACACACGTATTGCGCTCATCAGATATATTCACGTATATCGGTCTTATATCAGTACTATATCCAAACACTAGCACATACGAACCGGTATATGACAATTGAACGGCGAAATTGGCCAAACGTTGCGCAGTGGTAACTGTCATGACGACCGTAACCGAAAAGTGGCGATTGACTTCAGGTTTATTTATTTATAAAAAAATTTTCTGACAAAAATTACCAAAAAAATATCATCCATGAATTATCATTTTTTTTCGCGACATATTCGAATCCGAAAATTTCATACGAAAAAGATAACGAATTTTTTTGAAAACAATTCCTCGTATCCGTTACGGTCGTCAGTAAGGAAAATTAGTTTACGGTTTTGAATCCAACCTAACCCTATATATATATCCCGTAACATTGATTTTGTTGTCCATATTATTTATTATGTTTCCCCCATCTATGAATTTTCTCCTTTTCCCAAGGTCCACGTCCTAACCAGTCGTCTATCGCTTTTGTGTTCGTCCATTCACGAATCCTGTTTGACGTTTAGCCGTGTACGTAGTGTTGTAGTGAGTAGTTAAAAAAAGAAGCCAAAAAATCTGTTTACCATCACCGACACCACTGTTCTATTTCTCTCTTTCTAGCAGCCTATCGCAGCTACCCAGGTGCAAATACCTAGTTGCAATACACCAATCACCGATCGATTTACCTAGATCATATAAATACTGCGTCGCCTTATCGCTCGTTCCAGTTTTCATTTTCGTATCTGGCATTTCGAGAAAAGTATGAAATTTTTTTTTCTCAATATTGCGTAATTTCCACGTACTCAGTTACGTGAATAGTCACGTGGTTGTCTCGAAATGAATTTTCGAATTTCCCGCCATTCGTTTGAACTCTGATCCAAAACCAGTCGCACCAAACGTGATGACTCCGTCGGTAAATTTTTTTTTCCAAAAAGTCACAGTACCGAATGACGTATTTTCTCGTGCCATTTGCGAACATGGAAACTGGTGTCCGGGCGTGTTGTAAATAAAAGTAGTAATTACCTATCATGAATGACACGAACACACAACCCTGCTGACAAGCTGTGCTGCACGAACCCCAGCTATCTGAACCCTGCTGCTGTTTGCTGCCCCACACAAAACGCTACACAGAAAAAAGAGCAAGAAAAAAAAAAGAAAAATTAAAAAAAATGAAAACGGAGTAAGAAATGAATGAGAAATCGGCTGGAATAATTGTGTGGTGAATTATATATTTATTGCATATATTGTACCTTGTATCTGTTGGGTAAGGGATATGAGAAAGTGTCGTAGCTCTCTCGCTTCGGACTTCGTTTGCGATCTCGAATTCTCTCTCTCTTTCTCTCTCACTCTCATTATATATCCATCCTTTTTCCCTTCTCGTACCGCCGTACTTCTGTGCTCCTTTCCCTCTACCTCTCTTCCTCTTACTTTGTCTCTATTCTCTCTCTCTCTCTCTCTCTCTCTCTC